GTTGACGCAGTGTTCAATTCGTTTGGGCTGCCCTCACAGATTTGGTTAGTCTCGTAATTGAAAATAAATAGTTTATTCCCCAAATGTAATCTGTCAACGCGAAGTTTGTAGAGGCCTCCCTGGGCTCGGGCGAACTGTAGAAGCATTTTCCTGGCGAATTGAACATTCTTTGGGTGATCTTCGCTAACCGACACGTTGGTGTCTTTTAGCTTGGAGCATGATCTCAGCACAGTTTCTTTGTGTTTAAAAAAAAGAAAATTTTACGATAATAGGTCGGTTTTTATTGGGACGAAACCTGCCGATTCGATGGGCCCTTTCAATCGTATCAGGGGTAATATGTATGCCTAGTTTATCACTGCATACGTCGAGAACTAGTTTTTCAGATTCCGCCCACGATTTCCTAGCAGACGGTGGCGCCACCTTGCAGGCGCCCTCCTGTGAGGGAGTTGGTAGGATGGGAGCAGACGGTGCGCTATGTCGAAGCATGGAGTGGCGATGTTAGTCCACATCTATGACAGTTAAAAAGGTTCATATATTAAAGAAACGTGTATGACGTTTTTGTGAGTGTTCTTTCTAACGAATAACATCGCCCTCGATGTTTATTTTTTATATAAAAACAAAACAAAAGCTTTTAAATGTTTAAATACAAGCCTGGAGCTTCCCATTAAAGCTTGCGTGGCGTGTGTCAGGACTATCCACACCCTCTCCGAGTTGTGTTTTTTTTTTCTTCTCGAATTTGTGGATGTTGTTGTAGAAACAGTTTTTGCATTCACCAGAGTAAATGACGGGCTGTCTTAGCTGTGCACGCGCGCATAGTCGTGTTGCAAATCGCCGCATACTTGTTATAGATACATTGAACTTGCCGATACCGGAGCGGTATATACAGAGAGTTTGGCCATTCATTGGGAAGTATAGGACGGAAATGGGAAACCGCCATTGGCCGAAAGCGGGCTGGGCGTGTTCCAAGATGTCTTCACAAATTCGAATGTGGCCAACCAGGAGCCGGAAATAATACCCTGGCGGTGGTCGCTAGAAACGTAATTAATAAGTGCGTCGGAGTAGCTCTTGGTGACTGAAAATATGGTTACGTGATGTGTCAATCACGGCCATTCAAAATCATGGTGGAAGAGCGCGACTAGCGGAACGATCGACATAATCCGTACGCCAGGCGGCGAGGGCCGAAAATCTGCCGTCCGAGCGATCGCACTCTGTCCGAGTCAAACAGAGTTCGAGTGGCACATTCGTTTCTTACATCCTTCTGCATGATCATAATCAAAACATTACGTGCACCCTATATTTAGCCAATAAGGGTTTCTACATTTAACTCTTACGCGCTTATTAATAACATATACCCAACCTCGTTTCATATACCTATAATTAAAACTGTTTCTCGCTACCACCGGTAGGGGATGCTTTCCGGCTTCTGGTTGGCCAAGAGAGCACACTAAGCCCTCGTTCAGCGTCTGGTGCACGCCCTGGCTCTGTCCGTGCCTCCCTTTGACCAAACTTTCTGTATACATGGTTCTGGCCGATACGGACGCTTTTATCCAAGTGTGACTCCACAATTGCTGACGTGCAAAGGCTCGTCAGAAACTGACGCTTAGCCCCTGCCGCATCGAATACGCGGCAAAGAGGTTTGTAACATCGCGACTTCTACTCGAAAGAAAAGCAGAATTTTTCATAAATTCTTAAATTATCGGTTATGGCCCGGCAAATTCAGGCGACTGATAATTTGTTCTATCTAGTTTTTACTAAGGATTGTTTACAGATTTAAAATCGCTCGGCTGAGAAGTGCATCGCGCATTGTGCGCATTTGGGTCGGGAAAATTAAACACACAAGTGTATACCTCATTTTGTGGGACGCTGATGTGTTACCGACTTACTAGATTCAAGACTTTGATTGCGAGGAGGTCTAGCATGTTTCTAGTCGACCGGGTGAATAAGCAGGGATTTAATTCATTCAAACGACTCCCTATATAAGCCAGCCACCGCTTCTTCCTACCTGTTATTTTTAGGAAAAGGAATCAACTTAATGAAACTAGTAAGGAACCAGCGCTCACAAAACACATTCGAACCAACAGGACAGACGGAGCCGCTTTCACTGAAGTATTTAATACATACGCGAGAGGTGAATTTCGCTTTCTTATTTTTAATTAGACCAGTCATTCCCTTCTCAGCTTGAATTAATCCAAGTCGTAGTAATGATAAAAAAAAAAAGAAGAAACTATTCGCCGTAGTAGATGTTGTATTGCGGTAAAGCGCTGGGTATTCTATTTTCATCATCCAGCTTTTTTTTACTGGGGTAGAAAAGAGCACACTACCATCCCAGCGCTTCGATACCTCAGCGTCAAAAGGGTTTGCTAGCACTACTACGCGTGCCACGGTTTCAAGCTTTGGTGAAAAAAATGCCCTACTACAAATGTCACTTCACCAGATGAACACAACGCGTGAAACAGGCTTTGCGGCGCGTTACCCAAAACAGCGTATGAAGCGAGCTGACGAACCGAGGGATCCAAGATCTTCGCAGTCTGTCCCAGTCTGTCCTACCCATGACGTCACAAATGATGATGATGATAGCTAGAGAAGCGCCCCCTGTAACTCGCGCACGTCGCGTCGTCTAAAGTCGCACTGCTCGTGTGTCGTACGAAAGTCACGATGTTTTCGCTGTAGACATGGCGACCGCTCTGTCTGCGGACATGCCTCCAGAGCATGTTTGACAAGGTATATGTACAGATGGTAGCGAAACTTGGGCCAAAACACGGTACAAAACAAATTGCCAGCGACATCAACCAGGAGGGTCACGTGGTTACGGTGCGTCTGAAGCGCGACTAGGAGACGTTATGGCAAACTATATACAAATAAAATAACTTTAACTTAAATTATACTGAATTGTATTTTAAATTTTGTATGTTGTTATTAGTGGTCTTAAATAAGGTTTATCGCGCTCGAGAAAGCTAAAATAGCTTTTATTACTACTAATATTCTAACTTGCTCTTAGCGCCCTCTGTACTGCACAAGCAACAAGGCTGGCTTTTAATAGCGATAAATTGCAGAGGCATCGTGCTGCGCCAAGAGGCAGGTTTTTGTTGTCCGTCTGCTTGCTTCTTTTAGGTCTCCACGTGCTTTTTGAATCGTTCTACCGTCACTTCAAATAGTTTGAAAAGTTTCGTTCGCTCAGCGTGATTACGCAAGTTACGTGCGCAGGAGCGTAATATCAGCGTGATATAGGAACAGTCACCTTCGTGCGGTTGGACGCTGCTGCGTCCGGAGGGCTCAACGTCCTTCGTGACAATGAGCTCGACACGTTATGCAACGAGGCGTTGCTCCGTGGAAGAATGCCGAAGTGACAACCGCACGGCTGGCGTCTCGCTGCACCGGTTTCCTGTCGACACTCGAAGGTGACATTTTGTTCCTGTCAGTGAGGTGCCTGCTGTGTTGTGTTAAGTGATGCCATGCCCCCTTTGTAAAATGTTCTCTTAACTGTTGTTAGTTTTCGCTGACTTTGCAGCGTTGTTTGCGCTCATTACGAAAGCGCCCAGGATATTTGAATTTACCTGAACCGGTTTGCCCCTCAGGAGTATGGGGTCATACTCATCGACGCTCTAATCAAGGATGCAACACGACATAGATACATTTAAAAGCCTCTGTACTAAAGGTTCATGTTTATCTTTTTGTGGTTCATACAGAGAGTTTTGCTTACTAATCTGTGAATGTCCTCGCTCCGATTCGCTTTGGTGTGTGCACATATTGGCTACATTTGCTCTTTGCAAGTACGCAAGACACTTAGATAGCACTGCGCTTCATCCGCAGGCGTGAAGCATGGGTTCGGTTCTCCAACAACCGGGGCCTACAGGGGAAGACTCCATGGCAGCTACGAAACATGGTTGTTTTCTGTTTACATTTCAAGGAGTCAGCTTTCCTGCGGCCTGGATACCTAGGCCACAATGCAGTGAATGAAGTGAATAAAATGTTAGTGCAACATTGGACTTGCATTAGAGTTACGGTTGTGTATCTTCAACGCTAACACACTCGAGAAACGTTATTGTTAGTCACTTTGTTTGTGAGGTCAATCACTTTAAAGCCGCTCCCATATTTCTGAAAAGCTGAAGAAAAAAGAAAAAGTAGTTCTGTGGGATGAAAAAAAAATTATTCTCGTAGTGAGCTGCCTAAAAAGGCGGCCGCGTACAAAAATTAAATTATTTTCGCGCAGATTTAAGAGTCCAAACGGGTGGTGTAAATTCAACATAAAAAAAACCGAGACTGCAGGCAAGAAGGACAACACACTAAACGAAGTCAAACATAGCTTGGCACAGCTTTGTTTTAGATTTTTTAGTACCAGAAAGCTTTGTTTGAGACTTTTTTAGAAATCGGGATTGCAGGCAAAAAGGACGATCGTCCTTTTTGCCTGCAGTCTCGGTTTCGTGTTATATTTAATTTTCGCGCCAAACAATACATCAAAGTGACGTTACGTTTTTTTGTTTTTTTTTGGAAGTGACGTCATTTCCTGTTTATTTTTTGTTCCGCCGGAAATGCTATCACGACACATAGATGGCGCTAGCGAAGCCCCATGAGCCGCCATTTTTTCGACACGTGGGGTTCTATGGAAGCTTCGCTACCATATGTACATATACCTTGATGTTTGACGCATGCTTTCTTCGTATGTATGCATGCTCCAAACAAGACTGCGGACAGTTTATGCACGTACCAGTATATGTGTGAGGTTAAAAATTGGTTTAGCGACTTAAGAAAGGTCGCCTGCGCTCTGATATTGAGATTTATAGGTTTCACATGCTTATGCCATGCTCCCTGTCGCAAACTGTTTTTTTTTTTGTCACCCTCAAAGTTTCAGCAAAGCGCTTTCCAGCAAAGCACTCTCAAAAGCTTTGCTGGAAAGTAGACGCTCTGGAATAATAATAAAAAAAAAGTATATTTGCTAAAAAAAATACCGCTTATTATTTGTGTTAAATGCCTGGCGCTTTTTCCCCCTCTTCTCGTTTTAGGGAACGGGACAACGAAGACTTTCCCTACCTCAGGGCCATTGACTGAGTTCCGGAACTGACGTCACGGCTGGAGACGTGACGACGTTGGCCGTGTACTGCAGCGAACCGAGCAAGCATCTATATTCGACTGCTTCCGGATAACCCCTCCCCCTATTTATGAGTGTGGATGGCGCAGCTTACACTCGATGTCCTTCGCACATTTTGGATGTGTTCAGTCTTGCCAAGGCAACCTGTCTGTCGCTAGAAAAGAACAAACTGACATGGGATTTGTTGTATTATCGAAGTCTCTAGAATTGAGGCTTTTCACGTATACACAAACAAAAAAGAATAGAGTGTTTGTTGTATAGCCACAGTTTTTCTTTTGTTTTAATTAAGGTCCATGTCTGAGAGAAGAAAAAAAAATGTTACTAATGCTGTTTACCTTTACTTCTGCCGAAGATAAGTGCTCGCGGGACTTTTTGTCCCGCGAAGACACTCGCGGGACAAAAAGCTATAGAAGTCCGCTCCTAACTCGGATTTCTCGAAATGTGTTTCAGCTTCCCTTTAACACTACGAGTGTTTGCTAACATGTGCCAACGTTATTTCAACAACATTATACGTGACTTAAAGGGTTTGGCGCGTGGACGTAGTCACGTCATTTCGGCGACGTTGACCGAATTCCTGACTAACGCCGCACCATGCGGCTTCTAGCTTATATATGCCGGAGTACTTTTCGGCACTCCTGGTGTTGTTCTAACGGAGCATTCTCCACGTAGACGGCGCAAAAACCGTCCGATTAGACGGCAGTGCGTTAGGATTTCTGGGAGATTATTGACGAGTCGGAATGCTCGACGGTTGAGTTGGCGCCCTTGAAGTCGGCAAGCCCCAGAGTGCGACTTGTGTTGCCTAGATAGTCGTCGTGTTCCCGGCATGGGCCGTCGATCAATCGGGAGGTCAGAGAACTGAATTCGTATAGACAGAGAACTTGTTAACGCAATCTAACTTGACATCTTTCTATTCAGGCAACGCTCGACCCGACGTCGCGCCGCTGCGGGGTGCCGCTGCAGTTGGCGCAGCGCGTCGCGAACGTGTGAACAAAGCGGACTTGTTTGTAAACAACGCGTTTATATGTCACGTAAAGGGAAATCTGTTAAGTTTTTGTAGGGCTTAGCACGTCGCAGTTCCGAACTTCTGCGTGTACCGAGCTTAAAAAAGTGTTCGCTGCCTCTGGGTCCCCGTAGCGTTAAACGTGTGTTTTCTATCCACCGTTACACGTTCACGGCTGCCCGCGTATTCGAGTGGATGTGACCATATACTTTATCGTAAAGTAGTTCGAGCCATGGCGGCGGTTTGCCCAACATATTATGGAAATTGTTTGTATACGTCTCGAAAGCCGAGCGCATAATCGCCCTTCGTATCACAGCAAACGCTTTGTCGCTCTTGACCGATTAATGAATCTTACGCTATGCAAAATGAGCCATTGTATGTCTATAGTTTTAATGTCTGCCGAATATCCTATATATGGTCACTCAGAACTTTAGACACGCAGTGCTTGGCGTTTTAAGTTCACGTGATCCTTTCTTTGTCACTCTTGTCAGCTAAGTTCGAAACCTCATTGGTTGCGGAGTGATAAGGTGATCGGGACTGGTCGCGCCATGCATTTTTTCAGCTGACGGTGACCTATAGTCACTCTAGGGTTAGGCAACTCCTACTTACCGCGTGTGTATATGACTCTTCAATAGATGTGCAAAAAAAAAAAAAAGAGTGTGTTGCACGTAGTTTTTCGTCGAAGGTCTTGCAGCCCAACAACCGCGTGTGTACGTTACCAGCATTACAAGGGACCAATACCTTCCGATAGCTATCGCGTGCTTGTGATGTTTCGTCCACGTACTTTGTGACGTCGTTCCGCGCATGCGGAGGCATTCCTCGCACGTAGCTGCAGGTGTTTTTTTTTTTAGTTGGCGGGGGCACTCTTGCACACGACGGTGTGTCAGGGCAGACGTGCACCGATTGTGATGGACGAGGTATATGCACCTTTACTCTGCAAGGACACCCGCTTGAAACGAACTCGCTGTGGGCGAGGAAGTCGAACTATAGAAGGCGCTTTCGACCAGTTTAGTTGCCACACGGCTCGGTGTTTACCCAGCACATTCGTGTATAGACTCAGTTATGTACGACACCTTTCTCGATAGAACGACGAAGGGCGTAGATTGAACACGAGTGCTGCGCGTGGGGATTTGGCTGGGACATGGTGTTTGATCGGTGCTTCACTGATTGAACAAGGGCCGAACGCTGAAGGAGCGTTCGTCTACGTCAGTCGAACGCTGCGTCTGAAATGTGAACAGAAAAAATAAAAGCATGTTGTTGTTGTCTTCACGAGTTTAGCTCTCAGCTTAGCCGCCAGGGGCGCGACGGTCGCATCTACTCCTAATACTCCGCTCCATCGCGATTGCGTGTGGAGAATGTGTAAAGTTTGCGTTGAAATCTTCGTGAAACAAACAAACAAGCAACCAGCATTACTCTTTTTTTCTACGGGCACGCCGAAGTCCGTATAAATATTTTTTACGTCTAGCCTTCGACTTTGAAAGTTGAAGCTATCAGAGGGTCCAGTTGGCACGAATGGAAAAGGTCTTCGCAATAAGCCATTTTAGAAACCATTTATCACTCCCGGATTACAACGAAACTTGAATCTAATATCTTCTTCTTACCATCGAGTCAGTCTGGTTAAGTCAGTTTCATAAGGTTCTCTAAGGTTTGAATCAGTGTCGTAGGCGAGCTATGTGCTTCGTTTCACCATAAATCAAAACGCATTGAAAGTATAGAAGCTACAAACAGCCAATGGGAGCCTCTCCATCAAATCGCTGGTACATACGACAGGCTGCGCTCCATTGGGACAGGGGAATTAGGTGCCGTTTGGCGCGCGGCTTCAAAAGCTGATAACGCCGGTTCACTCCATGGGAGTTAATGATTTCGCATTCTAACGGGAACACACGTATTAAAAGCACAAGGTTATGTTGGCCCGTAGCGTTGACGATGCAAAATCGATGTCTTTCGTCCATGTTCTTTAGTGTTGTCAAATCAGAGCAAAGGCGCGTATGTGCATTCAGCACCACTGGCGCAACAGGCGGCTTCATCTCTATGTGCGGGCGACTCGTCCTGATGGCTGACATTGAGCACGAGTGTCTGTTGCATGATGCAAACGAAGCTCCGTTTAAAATGGAGCTCCGCAGACGGGCGTATGCGTAGCTGTATGTTGTGCAGGTAGCAAACACGGCTGTCTCGCACATTTAACAGAAAACAAAACACGAGCCTACTTCTTGCTTTCTGAGCTTTCTTATACTTTTCTGTCTTCTGTCTGACACCTCTCTTGTACCGTCGCAAAGTATCGTATGCCACTAGACAGCGAAATTCTAACAACCTCGAGGTTGCATTGTATTTCTTTAAGATTTTCTTTTTAAAAAAAACCTTCGTTAGATTATTTTGAGTCATCCAAAGGGTCGAATGTGTCCTGCGTATTTTACCGTTCAATGTTTATCTTTGTTTGTCTTGGAAACGTAGAATATGTCGTCGTGGTTATTTATTCGCGACTACTCTTTCAGGACGATTCCTTTTGAACGAATCAATGCGGTTGACGTGCTCTTATTTAGTTCTCATTGTTGTCTACCTTTGTAACTGTGTTTGATGTGTACGTTCGGTTGAATTAGACAAGAGCTTTAGCTAGTATTTGTAACACCTCACCTCGTACTCACCCTTTCACACCTTTAGCCTTTAGTTTTTGCACCTCGTTATGCCTGAATCGCACTCTTTTCTATACTATACACACGAAATAACATCAACTCACTCGTATACTCTGAACATCATCCCGTATAGTAAGGGCTTTCGGTTTTGGGACACTTATTGTGTTCACAGGCCGCACCATGTCCGAAAGGTTTAGCGGCAGACAGCGAAAAAAAAACTCAAATAACGCGACCAATGCATAACAAACCACTAATCTGATCTGCTTATGGAACGCAGTGATACTCTAAAAGCAATACGGGCCTGTACGGGGAGAATTACAGCGGGAGAGGTGAGCTGAGAGAGAGTTCTGATTGGACGCCGGGCCCTGCCCGAGCAGCGCTTTGATTGGATGGAGGGAAGCAGGGGGTAGAGGCGAAGGCAGGGAGCCTTTGCGTCTGCTCGCTATCCATCAAATTATAGCTCGTCGATCAGACGTCATAGCGCGCTCTCATGTCCTCCTCTCCCTAAATTTCTCTAGGCGAATATATATACATATAGATTTAACGCCGCAGATTTGGCGATATCTTTTGATAGGTGCACTTTCCAAACCGAAAGCCCTATGCGTAATGATACCTTTTTCTGTTTCGTTGCCTTATACTCCTGTCATCCCTTCTCCTACGCGTTATGTGAGCTTCCTCTACCGGTGATGTGTGCGTCAGGAGGCAAAACGACTTTCATAGCTCTCACGAAACCGATATATGCAAGGAAGAATACATCACCGGTGCGCCGCGCGTGTGAACTCGTTATTCGTCCTGAGTCCTCATCTCGTAACCTTATATCAACCAGCGATTTTTGTTTTTACTCGATCCGTGTCATCTTTAGGCCGTAGACTTTGCGGTTTTAACCGAGAAATATCTGTGAACGTCTGCTTATGTAAAAAAATACATGATCAGTAAAAACCACAAAAAACACCGATTTATGGAAATTTGTGCTCCAGCTGCGACTGTTTTTTTTTTGTTGGAACCCTTCCCTTTTACACCATACCCCTTAGTACTTTTTTATGAGAGTTTTTCATGGATAATTAATTACCTTTTGTAGCGTTCACCCAAGATGGATGACCAAAGTGCAGCGAAATCCGAAAAAAAAAAAACCGAAAAACATTTGTCGATTTTTTCATAATTATAAACACCGGAAAATCTACGTGCATAATTATTATCTTGTAACCCTCTTTCGCAACGACCCTGATGTCTATATACTTTTTTTTTAAATCCGGGTTTAATTTACTCCCCCCCCCCCCCCTCTTTCTTTTTTTCCTGGAGAGGTTCTATGACGTCATTCCTTTATGACGTCACATGCTCTATTTCTTCATTCTCTTTCCCGCAGTCCAGCTCTCCTTTCCTCAACCTTTCCTTTATAACAGGGCCGTAGTGCAGGGTTTGCTATGTCAGCTGTCGAAGCCAGCGCTGGTCACTGATTGGACAGGAGTGACGCCTCAGCGTTCGGCTGGGTCTCGTGTTCTCGCTGATTGGACACGACGTCCCAGCCGAACGCTGACGTCACCACTCGTGTCCAATCTGTGCGCCGCGCTGGTGACGTAGCAGATCCTACACTATGGCCTTGCTATCTAGGAGGTTTTGCTTTCCTTCGCATCTGTTTAGGAAGCATTTAGGCTCTCGACACCCTTACCGTGGCTCGCAAGGCGAACCGAAAGTCCGCCAACAGAGAGGAGTGACACAAGAGTTATGACGGATACACTTTGTGTCGTCACGGCTTTTGTCAGTCGACGTAATTAATACCAGGGGAGCTGTATGCGTCTTTTCGGCTGGGTTCTGTATTAACATGTTTGTTTATTTTATTATGTTGAGTCTGCAAAGTATTGAGCAGATTCTGTGACCTGACAAAAAGCATCGCACAATTTTTTTTATTGGATGTTTTTTTTTGGGCTTTACGTAGTTCTTCGACTGTTTACGAAAGCCCATTCTTCTAATGTTGTTTGTATGCTTGCTATGCCATGAACGTTTGGGACCATGTGATTATATGTCGGTGTTCTGGTGCGCTTGAATCCTGTAATGACTTAGGTCTATACTATAGGAACATTCTATACGCTCAGCTTGTAGACACTACTGGGACTTGGCTACGATGTTGCAGACGATTGTGAGTGTGCCGCAAGCCTTACACGGAATTCCCAACAGTGTTATAAACTTTGGTTCTGTGTTTGTTGTTTGAACTGTACCCACTGCTGTCGTGCTGTGTACCCACCAACAAGTGGTGGGGATACATCTTCTCGTAGTTTAGCTGCATTTCGACAACAGCTCACCAAGTCCTCTCGTAGACATGACCAAAACAGCTCGTTGCAACGGTCAAGGGATCTTCTGTGTATTGTGGAACAACGGCCGATTGAAAAACATCGTCGACATATCACGCTTTTTAAAGCTTCGATATAGGGAACTTTGTATATACAGAATGTTCGCTAGTGATCGATTTCTACCTTTGCCTTTGTCTCCACGTCGGCTTCTCTGTGGCCCATGTCGTATCCTATAGCATTGCGGTCTGTGTGCCTAGGAGTGTCAACAGCATCTCAGAAGCTATTACGAAATTTCGGAGCAATTTGTTTTCTTTGTTTGTATGCTGTCCATAACCGCTATAGATAAGGGTGCGGGAGCAGCGCTTCGAACTGATAATAGCGCAACGCGCTTCTTATAGATTCAAAGCTGCAAAGAGTGATGGTATATGTTGTGGGCTGTCTCTTGCCTTGTGAAGGCTATGAACGACGCAGCTCTGCTTGATTCGAGACAGTGTCCGCGCACCTCTACCGGCTAGAAAAAAAAAGTATTTTGTGGCAATGTCAGCGGATTTGTGGGCGTGTAGCCCAGTGTTTAGTACACGGGCCGGTCTTGATTGTTTCGTGTATAAAAACTGTAGAGCTTTGCGACGCACCGCGGCCTATAGACGGCCGATATCGTTTGATGTACTTTTAAAAAAGGGTCTATTTCGGTCTGGGGCTTCGAGAACAACAACAAACATTGCTTGCTGACATGTAACGTAAACACTGCTATTAGTTTTCTTTATGCTGGATTGTCATCAACTGACCACGAACGAAAGAACAAGCGAGCGAACAAAAGGGGTGTCCGGGTGACTTCCACTTAGAATAACATGTTATTTCGATGTCCTCACGGGGAGGTCGAGCGCCGACTCAGATTGTGCACGAGTACCGAGTTGAAGGATATTCGGTCAGTGCGTTGAAGGACATTCGGCGTCGGCCTCGTGCCCGAAATGCTGAGTTGGCGCCATACTTGTGTTCTAGGTGGTGTTGTATGGCGGTCGGCAAAACGCAGACCTTGTGTCGTTGGCGAACAAAAGGCGGTGTTTGTCGCTTTGGTGGGGACTGTGCCCTTAGTGACGGAAGGCAGCGTGTGTGCGTTCGGGTCTGACGAGACGCGCCGCCGACAAACAAATAACGAGCATCAAACTGTTTTCGTCGCTGTCAATTAACGAGAAGGGTAAAACACTTTTTTTTTTCTGGTGTAACGCTGTTGTTTTCGATCGATTCACAATAAAGGTTTCTCCGCTATAACTCTTCGTGTGTTCTTTATAAACGCAACGATTTTTTTTTTTTTGCGTCAATAGGATGCTGGTGGTGTATCACGGGACTTCCACCGCGCTGTCAGCTTAAGGGTAAATGGAGTATAGTTACACCGTTGCATGGAAATAGCAGACGCGTCGTGACTCGACGCCATGCTGTCCCTGTCGGCGATCTATTTATTCTATATACCGGAGTTCTTCAGAAACGACCCAAGAGCTGACGAATCGGACACTAATTCGGCAACAAGACGCTCTCGTCGTTTCGTATCCTTGTGCACGCGGCTCCGAAGCGATAAGGTCGTTCGGCTCGGAGGCGGAACTAGCGGTTTAATGGCGCATCGGTAACGTCTACAATTGCCTCTCCGTTTTCTGCTACATTGGAGGCAAAAGGATTTTGTGCCACGCCTGCATGCCGCCGATAGTGGCGCCGTCCAAATGCGGTGGGATCTGTACGCGTCTCGACTGCGAAAGAAACGAACATGAAAGCAACGAACAACTTGCGACTAATAAAATTATAATAAAACTTTTAAGATTCCCACTCTACGAGCTTCGGCGTCGTTCTCAACAAACTCCCGTAAACCGTTCGTTTTTTTTTATTGATGCGAATTTGCAGGTGGATGGAGTTGCCGCTGGGCGTCGCTATGGAAATACGATTGTAAGTAATATGAGTTATTTATTTTATTTTATTTTTTGCCAGTCGGGCGAATTTACGTAAGGTCGTAAAGTTTCTCCGGCAGGTAGGCTAAAGATTACGACTGGCGTTCGATGGGAAGTGTGATTGAAGTCCGGAGAAAAAAAAAGGTTCTGGGCTTGTCGACTGTCTTTCGTCAAAATAGAAATAAAACGAAGAGAGAAACAGAAACCTGCGCATGGAGTCCTCCAGTCGGGAGCCAGAGAGACGGAGAAACTGGGAACGCCCGATACGTTTCGGGTTTGAATTGCACTGTACGTTATATTCCAATTCGTCATATACAGTTTTATCTCTCTATTCATTTTTTAGAAACGAGTTCCGCCCCGAGCAGCACACCATTGTTGTACCGACATCGACCCAGCACTGGCAAATATTGCCTCCGATATTAACGTGACAGCGTTAAGGAGGTCGTGTCACAGAAAGGCCGGCGTCGGTGGCGTGACGTGAAAATCCTGATTGGTCGATAGAGCCAAGACGTCACAGCCACATGACCTCGCGCGGGAGTTTCACATAACGCTCACGCGCGTGAAATGAAAGTGGTTAAAAACATGACTTGTAATGCGAATTAAAGGTCGCCGAATGTCTGAAAGGATTTCATTTTGTAACGTATTTTAGGTGGGATTGGAACCCACGACCCTTCAGTTTCGAGCCAGACACGCTACTGACTCCATGTCCGCCGCACTTCCTGCTCACTGGCAGAAAAAGAATGAGAAGGCGATGAGAACGGGGCCCGAAAGCGCTTTCGCGTTCTACTCTGAATGGCCTAACTTTGGATTTCGCGAAAGCGCTACCCTTTTCGATGTTGGACCATTCACTAACGTCGATGCCTTACTATGACTCCACCATTATTTAAGCCAACGTTGGACGCTGATTCGTGCCATCGTTGGGCCACCTTTTAACCAACATTTAAGTCAATGTTGGACCACTGTTCAACCACTACCTAAGCCATCGTTGGACCACCGTTGGTTGGGGGTTGCACAACAAATATTGCCATCCAAATTTCTTATCCAATATTGGCTCCCAAGCCAACCTTATCCACTGGCTATTTCATTTTCGGCATCCGAACTTAACCGCTGGCTGTTCTGTTTTATTTTCGGCAGCCATTTTTTGCGGGCATGTTACTGAACAGGTGCGTAGCCAGGAAAGGGGAAGGGGGGGGTTCTTATGTCAAAACACCCTCCAAAATTTACCCCCCCCCCCCCCCCCCCCCCCCCGCCGCTGCTTTCTCTTTCGGGCGCCGCTCACTCTTTCTTCCATACCTCGGCTCGCAGCCTTTTAATAAATTTAATTTAATGATTTGATAAATCATAAATTACTGAATTGTCGGACAGGCCGGGGCAAATTCAGGCGATTGATTACTTTGTTTTTTATCCAATTTTTACTAAGTATTGTTTACAAATTTAATATCGCTCGCTGAGAAGCGCATCAGGTATTATGCGTATTTAGGTCCGCATCTTTATACATACAAATGATATTAATTCGTAGAATGTGTATACCTATTTTTTTTTGTGAGGGGACGCCGAAGTGCCACCGACTTACTAGATTTAAGACTTCGATCGCAAGGGGGTTTAGCATGCTTCGAGCCGAACGGGTGAATAACCAGGGATAATTGAAATGACTTCGGAAGCCAGCCACCGCTTCTTCCTGCCAATTATTAAAAAAAAATGTTTATTGGCCTACGAAAAAGAGAAAAAGGAATCAACTTGGAATTAACGAGAGACCAGCACTCACAAGACACATTGGAACCAACAGGACACACGAAGTCGCTTTCACTGAAGTGTTTACTACGCACGCGAGAGGTTCTCGAATTTCGCTTTCATATTTTCAATTTGATGAGGCATTCCTTTCGCAGTTTTATTTTGTTCGAATCATAATCAAAGATACACCCTATTCGCCGTGGTAGACGTTGTAGTGGCGTAAAGCGCTGGATATTCTATTTTCATCATCCAGCTTTTTGTACTGAGTAGAGTACTGGAGTAGAGGGACGGTGGAACACCACCGTCCCAGCGCTTCGACACCTCAGCGCCCAAA